AAATATATACATATACATGTATGTATATATTTTGTATTTTAAATAATAATTGTACAACAACAAAACACAGCTAATCTCTATAAAGCCTACTCCAACGAGCGTGGTCTATGAAATGAAAAGGTGAGTCTTATGGGCAGGTGAGTCTCTTAGCGGTACAGCTCCTATTCATATAAATTTTATGAATGAGCCAAGTCAGTCTGAATTAACAAAACCTCTGAGCTTTAATTCAATCAATATTTCCATATATTCAAAAGAGTTCCACATTTTCCTCAGGATATACCCTAGCTATATATTTGTTGATTATTGTTGAAAATATTAACTACAGACTTTCAGCTCTGCAATTGCTTGGGAGTCCTCTGTGAACTACATTTTACTACCCAGTATACAATATATATGTACGAAGATAATAATGAAACTAAATACATTGAACTTATGTAACCATCTAGAATCAACGACTAAGCCTACGCATTTCATGATTTCATTTGCAGCAGTCGACAACATCTTTGGAAGAAATGAGAGCTTGGCATGCGATTATGACTTTTATGATGGACAACAATAAATCGACCTGACACTGTTACAGCATGTGGATAATGAATTAGTCACGGAACACAGCTGCTCTTATAGATAACTGACGATTACAAGCATCATTCGAACATTAGGCATGGGCGTGCATCATACTACTTAAGGGGGGAACGGCGCATACCTAGCAGCTACGGCTACAATACGTATACTTGGTGGGCGGTTGCGGATGGACCATGGAGCACACCTCAGTGGTCAACGGAAACATAAAATTTGGAGTTGGATTTGGTGTTCCGCGCAAAGGACGTGGAGGACGCAGCTCCATCGGTATTATAGGACGCCCAATGCGTCAGCAGATCCAGAAAGCCCTGTCGTATGTTGGCCGATTGATTTATATATGAATGTATATATGTACATGAAACATATTTTATATTTTGGTAAATTTACATTTTTTGTTTTGTTTTTGTCATGTAAGTAAAAAGATAAACCCAAAATTATCCAATAAGACTATAAAATTATTATTAGACATATTATGGATACGCAAAATTAAATTAAAATTATAAAATTAATAAGATGATTTATAAGAATTTTAATCGGTGCACCGAAATTTACAACTTATAATTATAAATATTTCACCAGAATAATAGAATTTATAATATTTAAATGCCTTCGAGAGATTTCTTTTTATTTTTGCATATTTTCTAAAATGTATTTACTATTAATTAATCAATTTGTTATTTGTTATGTTTGTCGAGTTTTAATGAATAGTTTTGGTTAGTTAATACATATCAAAAACACAGACAGACAGAGTTGAATTTGAAACAGATTTGAAAGTACAGCAAAGGAAAGTAGGATACTGCATTGAAAAGTCCTATTAGCTTGAAACTTTTGAGATTTGTAATTCTTGAACTTATTAACCGATAGGTCCGCTGGACACCTGATTTCTATAGCGCTAAAGTTCTAATTACCGGTGTGCTGTTGTCCTCGTTCACCGAGATCTCGTCCTCGCTGTTCGAATAGTCCGAGCTCCAGCCACAGCCCTCGGGATGATCCCTGTCGGCCATGCCGCCGCCGCCGCTCGAGTTGCCGCAGGCAGCGGCCGCCGGGCCGTTCTCCTCGCTGCTGCAGTTGGAGTTGCGATTGGAGGACTCGGAGGATGCATCGCAGCTGATCGTTCGACCCGGTGTGCCCAGTATAATATTGGGCGTGTCCCACGACGTGGTTTGCTTGAGCCCGCGATGATTTAGGCCATACTGTTTGATCTTCTCGCCCTTCAGTTCCTCGAGCTGGTTGAGCAGCACCCGCTTAATCTCTGCCACCCACTTGTTCTTGACCTCCAGCGAAGGCGCCTGCAGCGTGTGCACCTCCTGACGACCCTGCAGCCAGACCTCGAAGCGCTTCGCATCGCCCCGCACGGACTCCGTCAGACCAATTTGTGACATCTGCATCAGAGATGATTAGTGAATGGGTATATATACACATACAGGGTATTGATTGCACCCACCTTGACGTGATGCTTGAACTGGTAGGTACTCTTGTTGTGACCCGCTTTGGAGGTTTGCTTGCAGAAGAGCAGCGACTTCTGGTACAGAAAGATGTGCCGCTGCTGTGGCTTGATGCGCAGCCGGATGTCCTTCTTCGACTCGGTCCACACCTGAAACGAGTCCTGCAGCAGCAGCTCGCCCTGCTGCGCCAGATCGGTCTGCGAATCGGAATATATGGAGATTAGCTTGGATTGTCAATGTTATTGAAGAGGCAGGATTTGCTTACTGGGAATCCAGTGATAGCCACTTGGTGCATGGAATCGTTGACGCACTTCAGCACAATCAGCATGCAGTCGAGCGCCTTCTGCAGCTCCTTGGTGCAGCTGCCGCTGTCGCTGAAGCGCAGCAGATCCTTCAGCAGCAGCTGGTACTTGGTGATGCGCTGCACGGGCTTCAGCAGGTACGCGGCCAGCGGCAGCTTGTGGCCCAATCTCTTCTGGCACTCCTGCAGGAATAGGTGGGTATCAACGAGCGTCTCACGCAGACGGTCCGAGCGCGGAATGTTCTGGCAATAGAACGAGTACAGCCGATAGAAGGTGTCACGCTGGAAGGACAGTAAGATATAGACATACATATGAGAGTCAGGGAATCATAGCTATAATCTCTTTAATCCCTTACCCTTTGCACAAAACACAGCGCCACCAGCTCTGTGGTCGAAATGCAGTTCTCCAGGTCCTTCAGAAAGATCTCGTTGTGAAATGTGTAGAGCTCATGCAGATTGCCAAAAAGTATTTCTTCTTTGCCCTGCAGACTGGCCGGAACCAGATGCATTAGCTCGTCCGATTGCATTTGGTCAAAGTAGCCCTGCAAGAGAACAACAACAACAACAACAAATGGAGTTAGATATGGCATTATAAATGGATTAGAACAATTGTTATCTCAACTTGGCTTTACATTATCACAAAATGCATTAATTTTGCTGCTTATGAATTGGCCAAATTTCTGCTCCACATATTGCTCCACACTGGCGTAGCCCTGTGCCACAACGAAATCCTTCAGGAGCTGCTTATACTTGGACGCCTTGAACTTGGTGCTCCGCAGCTCGGGCAGCTCCTTGGCATCGCTGACGCTTTCCTCGAAGAACTGCCGACAAAAGTTGAGTATTTCATGGTATGAACTGTTCCAATCAGTCGTTGACTTGGTCAATGCGGTTTCTGTGCGTCTTGGACTGGAGCTTGGCCCATCATCATTGGATTTGAATTTACTCTGCCAGCTGGAACGGCAAGAGCTGCACAATTGGACATCCACGGCGGGCACCTGCTTGGGACCCTTCAGAGACTTGGGCGTGGAGAGCACCTTGGTGTTGTTCAGCGAGCCGAGGGAGCTCTGAGCCCGCGCCAACGAGGACGAGACGGACATTAGGCTCTTGGGCTCGCTGTCCTCAAGATAGGCCAGTATATCCATGTAGTTCTTGCGCTGCAAGTAGTCCTTGAACTCGGTGTCGTTCTCTATTTCCGAGTAGCTGTTCGACTCCAGATAGTCCTTGACCAGTCGATACTCCAGCGACTCGTCGCAGCTGGACAGCTCGATGAGCTCCTTGAATATGGTGCGACGCTGATCCTTTAGGCGCTGCAGACTATTATAGGCGGTGATCGGGCAGGTCGCCGACTCCTGCAGGTATCTGTCTCCCAGCTGCAGCTCTCGCTCACTCACACAGCATTCGCGCTCCTCGCACTCCTTCAGCGTGTTGATGATCTTGATCGTTGACTTGCCATTCAGTATATTGTGGGTGGCAAAGTTGCAGAGGCTCGTGCCGAATATGTAATTGCCGCCTAGGTCCGGGCTGAAGGACTCGAAGCGTGGCCGAAAGTCGGCAGGACGATAGCTCAGTCCGCCGCAGGACGCCTGCGAGTCGAAGAGCGAGCCTTGAAACGACAGCGGCGACTCGCGTGGCTCATCGGACCCAGCCAAGGGCAAGTGGAAGCGCTTGATCAGAGAATCGCCAAACTTCAGATTGAATCGTCCGACTATATTGCATGCCGTATTCTGCACCCGTCGCAGCCGGAATGAGCTCTGGCCGGCCGGCGTCTTTGGTTTTGAGGCTTTTCTCAGATCGTAGCCCCCGTAGCGCATATCTCTGGCTGTTTCTACGGACTGGATGTCGTGGATATCGTGGACTCTTAGGTTTGCTGTACCGTCGTGCACAAGAGTCAATCGCTAAATGATTTTTAGTAGCTTGGCTGGCCGAGAATCGGTAACAAATTATTTATGGAATCTTCTTAGTTCGATGGCATCACACACACACACACACACACACACATAGAGAGAGAGCCTAATGGTTTTAATGCACTAATTACAAGCAGGGGCATTCAGGCGCATCAGCTCTGAGCTCTGAGCACCCAAGCCAAGAACCCATTCAACTCAGCAGATACTCGAATTTGTCTCAGTTCGCTGGCCACTGGGCAGTTTCCAAGACTCGGATTTCATGCTGCATGAGTTTAGAGCAGGCCTATACCGTTGGCCAAACTCTCTCGATCTCGATCTATCTCTATATCTATATTTATATCTATATAGTGCAATTCATATTTACCTTTAGAATCGAGCTCATCTCATTCACATAGATGCGCTCCGTCTCCAGCAGCTCAGTGAGCACGTGACCTCGTTTCAGTTTCCTCGCCTCAGCATCCTGTAAAATGAGATGAGAGAAATATGCAAGATCTTAGTTAAATGCATTTCTACCTTAATTATAATCTATGGTTTCTCTACCTCATTATTAGTATTAATCAACATAATTGAACTGTCTTTTGGAATCGTGATTTGATTTTAAAAAAAGTATATAATATAGTATAATATTTTAGTGTTTAGTTTCTGAGTCCATTTAAAATTACTATAAATAAAACATTGAACAACTATGACACTTATAGCGTTCAGTTTGAGGTAAAAACTTGTGTGCTACGAAGTCTTTCGAATAGTTGAATTGTTTTCGCCAAATTATCTATGAGTATCTAAAGTTTTTGAAGAGTTTCAAAATGGCTGTAATTTTACTACATATTTTTTTTTTGGGTTTTTAATTTTAATGTTTTAGTTTGTGATCCTGCTTAAAATTTTGTGTTTTGCTTGAAGAACATAAACATACTTGGATGACATTTTTGACACATATTTTATCGAAGGCTATTTGATCTATAATAATTTATAGAACAATTTTAATTTTTTTTGTCTCATATATAAAGGCTAATATGTATAAAATTGTAAATAAAATACATAAACAATTTTTGAAATTTGTAAACATGAGAAATAAGACGGCAAAATATATAGCAAATAATTTATAACAATTAATAATATTATTATTAAATGATGCAATG